CTGGCGAGCTGTATGTTGGTTGTTTGGAACGAGGGTGATGCGCTTGGTATAGATGGCCCACAGCGGCTCGCAACGAGCAGTTGAATCTGATCATTACCGGTGCGGCTTTTTTCTCCTTCTTCGGTGAATCGAGAGCTCTTAAAGGCAGCCTTGATAGCTAGCTGCATGCTGGGAGCCTTTCGTTGTGTACTGGAGAAAAATGTACAATGCTACGCACCGAAAACACTACTGCTGTTGCTGATTGAATAATCACCATTGGGCGAGACCGGATGGAATTCGATTTTGAAATCTGTGTAAGGGAAAGCGCTTTTTGCAGGCAATTGGTGATATTTTTATCACCATTGCCACAGTTGGAAATGTGTGTAATTTTAAACAGTGACCTATTGAAAATTAATTATGTGATCATTTTAGCAGATTTGTAGAAAAATTTCAAATCGATTGGCTTGTGTAGAATTAAAATCCAGCCGCTATTGACAGAGTTATAAACGGTCAAAACCTGACCACTTTTCGTAACGCGGTGGGTTTTGATTTTTTGAAGTTGCACGTGATTTGAGTTGTCGCATGATGGAATTTTGACCAAATCATATTCTGTCCACTTTTCCGGTGGAACGCGGAACATTTCAGGTTGTGGCCAATGTAGTCTAGGATATTGTATAAGACTACCTGTTTGAATTACTTTTGCATTCTTATGTGATTTGAGGTGTCGCATGATGGGTTTTACATGAAATCAGGTTCTGACCACTTCCCCAGGGTAAGAGATGAACTAGCCTCAGGCTAAAAATCTCTAAAATAAAGAAAAAAAAAAAAAAAAAAAAAAAAAAAAAAAACTTCCCCAGGGTAGCAGGAATATGTCCGGATATTGCCAATGTGGTTCTAATCACTCAATAAGGCTATCAATGATTTTATATATAAATCCATCATGCGTCGCATAAAATTACACTGGAGTCGCTTTTTATCGTTATACACTGGAGTCGCTTTTTACGCGGTTTTTTTACACAGTTTTTTTTACGCGGATTTTGAAGTTCACGTGGTTTTTTTTTTAACGCGGATTCCGGAATTTACGCGGGACGTATCAACCGCGTAAAACGCATTTCACGTGTACATGTGCAGTGTACAGTGTTCATGTACACTGGAAATGCGTTTTACGCGGGTGATACGTCCCGCGTAAATTCCGGAATCCGCGTTAAAAAAAAAACCGCGTGAACTTCAAAATCCGCGTAAAAAAAACTGTGTAAAAAAACCGCGTAAAAAGCGACTCCAGTGTAATTTTATGTGGCGCATGATGGATTTTATTTGAAGTCATGTGCTAAATACTTTCCCCGAGGAACTGGTGTGGCCAATGTGATTCCAGTCACTTAATAATTCTTCCTTCTTCTTAGTTTTCGCATATCAAGCTTATTGCTTATCGCATATTAGCTTATTGCGTGCTCTCAACTTAATGTTCTAAATACACTTCCACAGCTATTAATTGAGAGCTTTCGATACCAATATCAATGCACGAATTTGTATATTGTGTTGCAAGCACAATGATACTTTATGCCCAGGGAAGTCGAGAACATTTCCAACCCGAAAGATTCCCTCGACCGGACCGGGATTCGAACCCGGCGCTTCCGGCTTGGTAATACCGTCCCTTTACAGTCTAGACTATGAGCCCCCAAAAATTCTTCCAATGATTTTAATTTTGAATACTAATTTGATTTTATGTGGCTCATGATGGGTTTTAGTTCAAGTCATGTTCTGGCAACTTTCCCGGAAGAGCATGTCCCGGGTGTTGCCAGTGTGATTCTTAACACTCAATACAACTGTCAATGATCTTATTTTTGAATTTGCATGTGATTTGATGTGCCGCATGCTAGGTTTGAGTTCAATCCACATTTTGACCACTTTCCCGGAGAAACTCGGAACATGTCCGAGTGTCGCCAATGTAGTTCTGGACACTCAATAAGACTTTGAATGATCTTATTTTTGAACTCTCGTGTGATTTGATGCGTCGCATGATGGGTTTTACTTCAAGGGCAGATTCTGGCCACTTTCCCGGGGGAACATGGAACTTGTCCGGGAGTGGCCAATGTGATTCTTGACACTTTGCTGTCAGTGATCTTATTTTTAACCGCTATGTGATCGCCAAAAATAACACCTTTAGGAGCTCGACAAGGGTACCCGGGTACCCTTAAATTTAAATACTTGCTACTGCGGCCAATTTTGACCGATTTTGTGGCCATAGAAGTATTTGGGAAGGAACCCCAAAAATAAGGGTATCAAAATTTATGAATTTACAGCAGGATATTGTTTATCATAATTTTATGATCATTCGATGGATTGACCCCTACAATATGGGTATCATAGCTATGTACGTGCTTCAAACGTAACTAATCTCTATGGGAAGCTTCCCCTGATATTCAGATGACGAAAGAATGGCATGGGGCATAGTCTCCTGTTGTAAATTCATGAATTTTGATACACACCCATATTGTAGAGGTTTCTTCCCCAGCACGTCTATGGCGAATAGAACTTGCTGCGCAATGACCGTTCTGGGAACAATCCGTCAGATGACCACAATATAAGGATAAACAGTCTCTTGATGTAAATTCATTAATTTTGATACCCATATTCTAGGGTTTCCTTCCCAAACACTTATATGGCCACTAGAGGCCCTACGGGAACTTGCTCCGGAATGGCCGTTCCGGGGACAAACTTTAAACTAGTCCTCAAGAGAGCTGAAATTGTTTCTTGAAGGAAATTCTGATACTTTGATATCGATTCCTTTGAAATTCTACCGAAAGTGGCAAGACACTTCTAGAACATTATACAGGAAATCCAAATTTCCGTGAACCGAACGATTCCGGATGGACACTTTTGGCAATGTCCAGAAAGAAGATAAGTTTTTGAATCCAATGGAGCCAAAAGATTCAAAATCGGTCAAAATTGGCCGCAGTAGCAAGCATTTCAATTTTGCGGGTACCCGGGTACCCGGGTCGAGCTCCTAAAGGGTAAAACATTTCAAGACCCCCCTTTCGAAGTCCCTTCTGCAATATGAAACCTTTCTTCATGAAAAGTTGTATCTCCATGAGTCTAAGATGTCATTGAATTCTGGTTTCCTATCGTGAAAATAATTGTATAATTTCTGAACTTGAAATCTTAAAAGGTACCCGGGTAACCTGTCGATCACATAACTGTTAATTGTCATGTGTTTTAACGTGTTGCATGATATGCTTGGTACGTTTCAGATCGCTTCTAGCATTAAAGCCTGTATTCAGTGGAACATGATAGGGTCAAATATCCGAAAGCAGTTGACCGATTCCAAAAATAATAAATAGCGTTTAATGAGACCATAGTACCTTTCATTTGACGGGTTTTTCGTCAAATTTGGTGCAGTGATTGCCGGTAAACACACCTCATTTTATTTTGTAACACACATACATACACACAGTATTTTATATATGTCGTCGAGCATTGTCGATTGGTATACAGTCAACTCTCCATATCTCGATGTGAAATATCTCGTGACTACTTTATCCTATATGTCGATGGTTCCCAGCCCCTTTAAACGTTCTAGTAGGCTATTTTTGTTCTATATCTCGATCTCTTCATGGTTCTTTCAATATCGAGATATGGAAAGTTGACTGTATACCACTTGGTCTTCTGGGTCTCGGATCAAAAGTCGGGCTTTCAAGTGGTATATATATACACTTATATTTAAGAAAGGATATAACCTACAGTGTAATCGTGATTCTAGGTAATTTTAAGCTTTAATTAAAAACTGTGAAAGTGCGCAAAGAAGGCAGCCCTACTTTTGCTCAATAAAACAGATGAAATTATCCTTGATAAGTAAAAAAAATCTCCTTAAAATAGATCGGGTTGCTCCTTAAATAATTGATCAAAATACGTTAAAAATCTTAAAATGCTCAGTAAATTTTTAAAGTACGCTCCCAAAAATAGAGAAAACTGTACATTAAGCATTTCTTATTCTTCCCGGCTTTTACGCTGTTCTTGCCCGTTTTGCTGGCTGAGAGCTAACTAAGTCTTAGTTAGCTCTCAGCCAGCAAAACGCTCGCGGAACAGTGTAAAAACCAGAAAGAATAAGAAAGAAGAATCTTTAGGAGTTCATGTCTTCTTTGCGCACTTGCACAGTTGTAAGCTTAACATTACCTAGAATCACGATTAGAAAAAAAGAAGAAAAAGAAGAAGAAGGTATGATCCAGAAAGGTCGACTAATTTTTCCAACTTGAAAAATTCCTTAACTGGATCAGGAATCGATCACATCCCCTCTGGCATACTAATCAGGCTACCACGTAGTGCCAAAACAACGGAAACCTCAGTTCTATATATGCTTTAAACTTCAGTAACAATCGATTCATAATCAATTAAATAGTGTTTACCTTTCCAACTTGTCTTATCAAAACTTAGATATGAAGATTTCAAAGGTAACATTTCAGCCTTATAGGCATACATACGAACGCTCGCTCAGCCATATATGTAGCACAGTGGTTCATTGAACTAGGTCTATGTGCGTCTAAGATTCGTTGGTTTCTTAAGGGACTTCAGCACTTTTCTTCTAAGAAAACCGCTACCACATGGGTCAAAACGCTTGCTGAAGTAACAAGAAATGACACACCTATAGTGAAAACAACCTTTGCATTATTCCCATGTACAAGAATTAGAATCGACCGGTTAAACACTGTCGAACATCAACCTTCAACTATACAATGGCTGTCGACTGGAACTGCGGCGCCAGCAGGGTTAATGTAAATCTCATGTACCTCCATAGTCGTATACCTCCGAATCCGAACATAAACGGGGACCCCATTCGAAACCATATCAGCTCATGCGGTGGAGGTGCTTCCCGAGCGAACTCCTCCCGCGCCATATTCGTCACCGTTGTCGGTGACGTCGATGCACTCCCCTTATCAAATGCAACTTATTATCAACTGACAATGTCCCGCTAATTGCCTGCTAATCACATCGCTGACTGTTTGCTTTCTTTATATATCTATCCACAGAGACATGTGGGATGCAGTGGAAAGAAATCGTCGGGAGGAGAACGAACGAAGTGGCAACATTTCACGGCACTGCAAAACGGTCATCTTGCCCGATCGACTTCAGGATGCGGTCGATCAAAGAGTCAAGTTTCAGGCTAAGTAATTAAATTTCTACAGAGTGACGAACGATTTTGACTCAATTACATAATGGTATTGTTTTGTTTGTAGACACGGACCTATGAAGAATGAGCTCCAGTCGTTGTACACACAGACCTGCTACGTCATACACGACAACATAGAGATTTCCAATCCTGGGGAGACATCGGTCTACAGCATTCTGACGGATGCTCCGGTGTACAAGTTGGAGATTGAGGATGGATTTGACGAGAAGTTTAGCGCTTCGGGTAAGCGAAGGAGTGCAAATTGTCATCATGGATATGTGAAGCTGAAAAGTGTGGAGTATATCAAACCGAACAATCCATCTCCACTGGATGTCATCGATAGAGCGAACGCTGCTGGCTACGGTGAGTCCAGCGGGTTAAATAAGAATCTATCGAAACAGCGGAACGGAAAGTCAAGTAGCTCCAGCGAAAACTACAGCACAGACGAAGAAGACGACGACGATAGTGGAGAGAATGATGTGCCGATCGTAAACTTTGGGAAACTTAAGTTCAGAGACAGCGTCACCATGAAAATGCCCAGGATGGTAAATGGGGGCGGTATCTACGGTACAAACTCCTTGCTGATTCCTTCAACCTCAACGAGTTCAACGTCTCCTCCGAGCAGTGAATACGATTACGCATATATTACGGCAATCAACACTCATCAACCGCTTAGCATTATGAAAAGCCTGAATGACGATCAACCACTCAGCACTACGGTACTTCCGGATTACTGCGTGACCACGATCAATTCTTCGTCTGAATTGAATCAAGGCTACTACTCGGACGACGAATCCGACGCAGATAAACTTCTGTATCTGGCCAAGAACGGCCTCCCGATGAAGTCTAACCCAACGGTGTACACCACCGAACAGAAGCAATATCTCAACTCCAAGGGATTCCTAGCGTACTTCATAAACCTATTCCAAGAGACCCTGGCAAAAGATTTGGGAATCGACAGAGAAAACCTGGACAAGGCTACATGGAAAGGAGCCATCATTTACTGCGGTCAGTGGGAGGTAATACCCGCGATTGTGTGTCCATGGCCTCGCGAAGCATCCGAGTGGATCGAACGGAAGCGCGAAGTCAAGATCAATCCTTTGACCAAGCAAAAATTCCAATGGCCAACGTCACCCATGACCCAGAAGGTGAAATCTTTTGGCTGTCACGTCATTCCCACGGGATATTGCCCAAAAATGGGCAACAATCGCCATCGGCAACTGGAGTGGAAAATCGTCTTCCCGGAAGCGGAACGCTACCTCGAGAGCTGTCTCACCAACACCCAGGCCAAGATCTACATGCTCACCAAGCTATTGTTCAGAACATTCGTCGATCCTGCTCTCGTCACCAATATGACCATGTTCAGCAACGAACACCTGCGGGCACATCTCTTCTGGCAGTGTGAAACAAACTATGCAGCCTGGCCTGAAGACTACCTGGGAGAAGCTCTTATTCGCTTCCTAAACGGCTTACTGGATCGCATAAAAACACACAAGCTTCCGGACTACTTCCTGCCCAGTCGGAATCTGTTCGAAAACATTCCGGAACGGGTACTGGTTGAGCTGCACAGACGAATCTTTCGGATTACGGAGAACCCTGTCATGCATCTGATGATTGCGTTGAGGAATATGAAGCTTCCCGGAGGGCAGACTGCGTTCTACCCGAAGTTGAAAATCAAGCGACTCTATTCGGTTCTGGTTATCGATAACCCACTGAAGATCGTCAATCCTAGGTTCCGGGATGAGAACGAAAATCTGGCAGCCGAGGATTCCGATGATGGTTTAGAGCAGGAAAAGGAAGTTGCGGTGGGATCCATCGCTTACTTCAACAAACAAGAAGTGGAGTCTCGGAAGCAGAGAACGAGAATCGTTCGATTCATGGAAGCGGAGAAGATCAAGAAGGACAAACAGGATGAACGAAGAGAGTCACAGGATTCCATTGATTTGATGGTTGGTATTTCTATAAACACGTTTGTAACAGTAGGATTTTAAGAAGTTTCAACCTAGTTTAATTTCAACTTCCAGTTCAGTCCTCTGAAGCATATGGAAAATTTACGGCGACAGCTGATCTACAACGTCTTCGTGCAGCACTTCATCGAGATGGCACAGGTTTCCTACGTGTTCCGAACGCTGAACCAGGGTTTAATCTACCTAAAGCAAGCCGAACGTATATGTAGTCTTCTGACGGACGATCACGGCGTCGAAGAGTCCCGTCGATTTTTGACTAAAATCTACGGCGTACGGAACGAGATCCAGAAGGCGATAAACAGTGCATCCTACCGGCCAGCACTGCCGAAACGGGCTAGCACTTCGGTACAGAGCCCTCAACAGCGACGCATTCGGATGAAGTCACCCAAACAGAATGGACGCAAAGGTCGAGCGTCCTACAGTAACGTGAATCGCAAGTCACCGGAAGAAACACCTCGGCAGTCTCCGGAACGGGTCAGGAAACGATCATCACGTCAACTGGCGACGAGCGTGCAGGTTCACAGCGCTGTAAAGGGATCTCCACCGACTTCGACCTCCGACGATCAGGATGACATCTCCCGTTTGCTGGGAAACGTCACAATCGGTGCTTGACGACCGTAGGCTTAGGTTGTGTTAGATTATCAGCTTGATTGATTACTATTTGAGAACTATTTCTGTGATATGAAGAATGCTTTGTGTAAGAAGATGCTTTTTTTAATGTTGAATGTAGTTGTGTGGCTCTTAATAAAATGTTGAATTATGATGAGTGGTTTACGCTGATGATTGCGACTTAGCACATAGGTGAATTTACGGAAGGTAAATTGTTCAATTGTATTGGGTATGCTTGGACATATGTATCGACTTTGAGATGTGAGATGTGAGATGTGACGCCCCTCAATTTAAACCTCATTTAAACGCGACTGCATGATAGGAGGTTTTCCTTTCCATTTTAGCTTCCCCTCATAGAGTTTATTTAAATTGCAGGACTTAAAAAAAGGCGGTTTACTAGACTGTTTCAAAGGCTAGGTCCTTTACTTTTGACGTAGGACTACGTCTGTGTTTTCTGTATGGGGGTACACTTTGTGAAAACCAAAAATGGAACATGTAACAATATTATGAAAGCTTTTGAACATTAATAACTCAGCTGCCCCTGGACCAATTTCCATAATTTTATCACCAAGCGATCAGAAATATGTCTACGGTTGCGTTAAAATTAAGACTGACTTATTTTTCAAAATGTCACTATTGAAAATTGCACAAATGTGCAACTGTTGCTATGATATTTAAAATTATCACCGATTGCCTGCGAAAACCGATTTCCCTAACACAGATTTCAAAGTTGAATTCCATCCGTTCTCACAAAATAGTGTTTATTGAATCATCACGTGGTGAGTGGTGGTGTTCTCCAGTACACAACAAAAGGCTGCCTGCAAGCAGCGAGCTGCAGCCCACATGAGCATCCATAGAAGGAGGAAGAAGCCGCACCGCTATTCATCAGAATCAGTAGCTCTTCGTGAGTCGCCTTGGGCCATCTATGGCAAGCGCGTCATACTAAAAAGTATAAACTAAGTGAACCCCGCTCAAATTCCTATTCATACTCAAAACACAAGGACTGTCCTTTGTATTTTTTTATAGAATGCTATTGCAAAACTATTACAGAATCTGACTAAATCTCATGTCTTCATTTCTACGGAAGACTCAAATGAAAAATAAGGAACTATAGGTGACCACGGCTACCACAATGGAATTGACGATCCGTAGATACAATTTTGTCATACTATTTCAGCTATAAAATGTAAAATAGAACAGTACTTACATCAACCCCATGCTCGGTGTAGAAATCTCCCGTCCCCATTGACGCGTACAGTTTGTAGCCCATCTTATGCAGTATACGGATGCTCGGCAACAGTTCCATTTTGTGCTGCGAAAAAGAAACGAAAAATTCATCATTAACCAATCCATCGCTCCACCTCAAGCCCGTTCCTTACTTTAAAACTTCCAATACTCAGCAGAATCGCCCGTTTCGGAATCTGGAACCCAGTCGACATCATCCCCTTCAGGTACGCCTCATACTGATTATCTCCGAAGCATGCCACCTCTCCGGTGGAAGCCATCTCCACACCCAACATCACATCGGCCCCGGCCAGTCGTGAAAAACTGAACTGCGGAACCTTAACGCCCACCTTTCCACACCCGTGCAGCACATCGACCGGTTCCACACTCAATCCGACAATCACTTTCGTTGCCATCGCGACAAAATCGTGGTTCAACGTCTTGGACACGAACGGGAACGAACGAGATACCCGCACGTTACACTCGATCACCTTTAGTTCGTTATTCTTCGCAATCAACTGCATGTTGAACGGTCCACTGACATCCAGCAGAGCTGCAATGTCCCGCGTGATCTGCTTAATCCGTTCCAACGTTTCGGCATTGATGTCCTGCGGTGGTGTCATCAGCGTAGCGTCTCCCGAGTGGACACCCGCATTTTCGACGTGTTCGGATACGGCCATGCACAGAATCTCTCCATCGGCGGCAACGGCATCCACATCGATCTCTTTGGCTTCGACTAAGAACTTCGAGATCACCACTGGATGTTCTTTACTCACGTCAGAGGCGTGCTTAAGGTACGTTTCCAGATCCTGATTGGAGTAGGCAACGTTCATTGCTGCTCCGGAGAGGACATACGACGGACGCACCAGACAAGGGTAGCCCACTTCTTCGCAGAACTCGATCGCCGATTGAAGGTTTGTTAGTTCCTTCCAGCGGGGCTGTAGGATACCTTTTCTGTCCAACATACGGGAGAACTTGAATCGATTTTCCGCTCCATCAACCGACTCTGGAGATGTTCCCAGAATTCTCGCCTGCTGACGGTGGAGATCCATGGCAATGTTGTTCGGCAGTTGACCGCCCATCGATAGGATGATGCCATCAGGTTGTTCCACATCGTAGATGTCCATGACCACTTCGAAGGAAATCTCTTCAAAGTACAAACGATCGCACATGTCGTAATCCGTGCTGACCGTCTCCGGATTGTAGTTGACCATGATTGTCTTTCTGCCGAGGTTTCTCAACTCACGCAGACAACCCACTGCGCACCAATCGAACTCTACCGAACTTCCAATCCGGTAGACCCCGGATCCAATCACCATCGTGTACTGACCAGGAAAGTCGATATCGTTTTCGGTCGCGTTGTATGTCATGTATAGGTAATTTGTAGATGCTGGCCACTCTCCAGCTACCGTATCAATCTGCTTCACAAACGGTAAGACTCCCGTTTCCTTGCGCTGCATGCGTACCGCCAACTCCGTACTCTTGATCAACTCCGCAATCTGCTTGTCCGAAAAACCAATCTTTTTCGCCTCCAGCAACATGTCTTTCTCCGGGAGTACCGACGATTCTTCCAATTTCTGCCCAAAATCGATGATGTTCTTCATTTTCACCAAGAACCATCGATCGATCTGCGTCAGCTCGTAGATCTCATCTACCGTGTAACCTTTTCTCAATGCTGCAGCCAGAACGAACATTCGCTTATCCGTTGGTTGTTTCAACTCCTGCTCGTTGACCTCTTTCAAGTACGGATCAAATCCATTCACATTGTCCACCATTCGAAGGGCCTTCTGAAAAGCTTCTTCAAACTTTCGACCAATTGCCATCACTTCACCGACACTCTTCATTGAACTACCGATATGCTTGCTGACTCTCGCAAACTTGGCCAGATCCCAGCGGGGCATCTTCACTACGCAGTAATCCAAACTAGGCTCGAAGCATGCCGTCGTGACTCCGGTTACTGAATTTTTGATCTCCGGAAGGGGAATCGCCAGCGCAAGCTTCGCTGCTACATAAGCCAGAGGGTATCCGGTGGCCTTACTAGCGAGGGCAGAGCTTCTAGATAGACGAGCGTTCACCTCGATGATGTAGTACTCCTCGGAGAATGGATTCAAAGCGTACTGAATGTTGCACTCACCGACGACTCCAAAGTGACGAATGACCTTGATTGCCGTAGTACGGAGCATATTGTATTCGCGATTGGAAAGAGTTTGCGAAGGAGCTACCACGATACTCTCACCCGTATGGATTCCCAACGGATCGACGTTTTCCATGTTACACACGGTGATGCAGTTGTCGTATGCATCACGAACGACTTCGTATTCGACTTCCTTCCATCCCTTGAGCGACTTGTCAATGATCAGCTGATTCGAGTGGGCGAGAGCCTGCTGAGAAAGCACCTTCAACTCCTCCCGATTGTTGGCGAACCCTGACCCAAGACCACCAAGAGCAAACGCCGCCCTGGCCATCACCGGATAACCGATCTTTTCTGCCGCCACAAGAGCTTCCTGAACCGAGTAAACCGCATCCGACGGAGCTACCTTTTCTCCGATCTCGGCAACTCGTTCCGCGAAGATCTTCCGATCTTCGGTCTCAATAATCGAAATGATTGGCGTTCCCATAATTTTAACATTGTATTTGTCGAAAATACCTGCCCTCTGCAGTTCAATTCCACAATTCAACGCCGTTTGTCCTCCAAAAGTGAGCAGCACTCCACCGGGTCTTTCGGCTTTGATCACCTGCTCCACATAGTTCGGAGTCAGCGGAAGAAAGTATACCTTATCCGCCAAACCCTTCGAAGTCTGCACCGTCGCAATGTTGGGATTGATCAACACCGTTTGGATTCGCTCCTCCTTCAACGCCTTGATCGCTTGCGATCCCGAGTAGTCAAACTCACCGGCCTGACCGATCGACAGACCTCCCGATCCCAAAATCAACACCTTTTTAGGTCGACTCGTGTCAATCTCCCGCTGGGGTCGGTATGCCAAAGCCTCATTCAGCCGTTCCTTCACAGTCATCTTATCCGCTCCAGTGGCCTTGAACTCCTTCACCGTGTCCAAAAACACATCAAACAAAACTTCCAAGTCTTCCGGGCCCGCGGTATGCTCCGGATGAAACTGGACACAGAAGTACGGTTTACTGTTATGTACGATTCCCTCGTTCGTGTGATCGTTGATGTTCGTGAATAACTCCTCCCATCCAGTAGGTAAGCGGGAGGCATCCACCGCGAAACCGTGATTCTGCGATGTCATGAAACACCGCTTAGTTCCTTTGTGAATGCACGGCAAGTTATGACCACGGTTACCGTACTTCATCTTGTACGTCTTACAACCCGCCGCCGTAGACAACAGCTGATGACCAAGGCAAATTCCGAAGATCGGCTTTACTACCGATCCCTCCCCCAGCAGCTGCCGGATGTTTGCAACGGTATCCTTACACATCAGTGGATCTCCCGGACCGTTGCTCAAAAACAGACCATCGTAGTTCTCCGGATTGAGCTTAGCATTCCACGGTACAACGTCGACGCGAGCTCCACGGTTGACGAAACACCGAACCTGATTCAACTTGAGACCGCAGTCGATGGCACAGATGCGAGGTGAACCGCCTTCGTTGTAGGTGACCGACTTGGCCAACGAAACCTCCGCCACCAGATTGCGTAGGTTCTGGTTTTGAAAGACGATACCGGCGGCACTGGCAACGTGGCCTTGGACGATTTTTCCTATTGGGATGAGAAAGGGAATTATTGTTAGACATGGGAAGGAACAGATCGAGGGGTCGATGGAAATTTTTAATTAATATTGCCAATTCAGAGAAAAATCAGCGTTTGCCTTTAGATAATCGGCTTTAAAAGCACCTTGTTGTCAGTTGCGTTGTATTTTTCCCCCTGCAATGGCAATATTAGCAACAACATGTTAGAACACGATATAACTTATGAAAAATTCCTATCTGCCCAACAAAACATTGCCTATTTAGCAGTACCACGCCAAAAGATGAATCGATAAAACTTTGCGTAATTATTTGTTATGGGAAATCATTCATATTAATGTCGAAATTTGGCCAATTTGGATGTTGTAATTTTTGTCAGTTTTTAAATAAATTGTAGCACGAAAACGTCACCTCTGGTTGAAATGACGTCTGGTACAAAGTTGTAGTGAAAAATAAAGTGTTTCTGGGTCAGTTCGCATCGTGCGGATCTATTTGATTTTTGCTGAAGGAATTGTAAACTGCGTTTCTTACTGCTAAATATTACTCGCAAATTGTCTACCTTGTTCGATTCTTATTCGTCTTCGATCCTTGTTTGGACCCTACCCGAGGCAATCCTGTTTGGATATCGATTTGGAAATTTCCTCTTCGATCCTTCGGATTCTTATAGTAATCTGCTTGAAAGTCGATTTGGAGAAACTTTCTTCTGCCGCCATGGCGCCTAAACGCAAAAGAAAGGGGCAACCTCTCGTTCCCCCATCTGATGTAATTTATTTGAGCAATCAATTTGATATGCTCACGGATGATGAGAATGGCTAAATCCCATGTAACATTCCCGGCTTAATCCAAAATGGAAAAGGTCCCCTCTATTGCGATAACCACTTCCGATTTCCAAGCAGCGGCAAGCCTGAGCGTCTGTTCTCCAGGAGGAGTGGCTCACAACAGCGTCTGTTCCCCTGGACTCTAAGCACAACTGTGCACCCTGGTCCTCCGGAAAGTTAGGGGGTTGGTGTCAGGCCCTGCAAGCCAGCCGTAAAAAAAGTATTGCAACGGAAAATCAGCAACAGAGGAATACGAACCGAGACCAACGGCAACGACCCCAGCGACGAAATAGGACTTTATATCTGTAACTGTAACCAGTTCGTTTTTTGCTAACATGGTTAAAATGTATACATTTAATTATCTTAAAGATAAATCGTCCAGCTCAAACCTTTGTAGGGGTAAGAGGTTGGACCATCATCATCATCATCATCATCATCACCAACACATCTGCCGGCGCCGGTGGTGTAGTGGTAAGCGTGACTGCTTTCTCACCCCAATGAGTCTGGGTTCAATCCCAGCTGAGGTCGGTGGGATTTTTCTGAGGCATAAAAATCTCTGGTCACGTCTTCCTTCGGAAGGGAAGTAAAGCCGTTGGTCCTGGCCCATGTATGTGTTTGAATGGGTGCGATATCCTACGCAGGTGTGGAAGCTGCCTTCCTGCACATTGAGATTGCCGTCAATGGATGGCAATCGATGTCCGTCGGTGATTGGCACTAGATTGCGCAACAGAGACCGACGTTAAATAAAGGAAAGATCATCACCAACGCCACCTTTAGAGATATGGTGTTAGTTTACGTAGGAGAACTGAGAGTTTCGTCAAAGTGACGCTTGATTTTTTTTTTTAAATATAAAAACAATTTCATCGCTATGAAAAATCATCCTTGATTTAATGTTATACAGCATTTTACAAGACGTTTGTTCTCAGCTAACTTTTCAACTTATTGTTATTAATTGGAAACATCTTACGGCTACCATTCAAACTAAACATTACATTGAATCTTGAAAAATATGTTTGATATTTACAAGAGAAAAAAATTAATGTTTACAACCGAGACTAGAAATAGGACCGATTTCTTTGTGCAGCTAGGTTTTCATAGTGATATCTTTTCGTCAAAGGAGGGAGGTGGATGTCAAATACGAACAATCGTCGCCTACCTTGCATAACTAGTTCCAAACGTAAACAATCCATAAGAAACCTACAGGGTTTGTTTACGTTTGGAACCAATTTCATACAATAATGATCAGTAGGCTGATTTGACAGCACGTCCCACCCCAGCTTTTCGTCGATGGACTGTCAGCTGCAGGATCAGGAACCTAAAGTATAAGCCCAGTTATTTGTGTTCTCGCAGCAAACCAGAGTAATCCAGAGTAATTATAAGTAAATCTGAGTACAAGAGGTACTCTAATCAAAGTTGACTTCCCCTCGGTAATATCCATTAAAAATTTTACACGGAAATGAAAAATTGTCAACCCATAACATTTTGTATGGATCGTCCAAGGGGTTGGTCACTTGGCACAGTGTGCCGAAAACAGATTCGGCACAATATGGGCACACCTGGGCACACTAATTGGCTCCCAGGTCAGACATTTTAACAAAACTTGCAGCACTGCTATTTTACTATCATTGCTTACATACCGGTTGAGTTTTAATTTCAAAATTGTTTCTCAAACAACTGAATTGGATTCATTCAGAAACATTAACACATTGAAGCCATGTTCAAGGCCAATATAAACCGTATTCTCCGTTTTTCAATCGTAAAAAAGAATATGATTATATACTGGAATGACTTAAACTAAACTGAGCTGGAAAAACGAGTGGGATTAGGGAAGGAGGTATGGGAGTGGTTAGTCAAAACCTGAGTTGTGAAGCATAATGTTCCGGATATAGAGGGATTACTCTGGTTGTGACTGATACCATTGGTGTTGATAAGCGCGTTATATATTTGTCGAGGCAGAGATAGCAGGTGATCATCGCAGATCACAATGCTGGATCAAGGCGTTCCGCAAAGATACTTCCGCAGAAAACTTTTAATTTGATTTGGTAGGGGTACAATCCGATCAGTCGATCACTTTTCCTGGGGGCATCTTTGGCTATTGCTTTTATCCCAAAAAAAAATTATGATTGTGGGAGACGTTCAAACTTCCACACAATCACTTTTCATGGTTCTGTACACATTTCCTCGAACTCGAAGCAACGTGGTAGTGTCCAATCATTTCACGATCTTGAGACCTTCTTTCCCCGGCTCCCTGGCAGAGGCATCCCTTGCCGAGTTTTTCACGTTGTTATTCTTCATGCTAATATTGTTCTCCCGAGTCCTTATCAATTCCACTAACAAGCAGTCGAAATTGAAGCCAAGTTTCGTACACGGTATGAAAAAAATACCTAAAAGTAAGTTCTTTTCACTCATCTCGGCAGTATAGTGCAGGAACCCAAAAGTAGGTAAAGCGGGTGAATGTAGTTTCCATTTTCTTGTGTGCAATTCTTATAGAATTTTCCACTCGCTTCCTACCCAAGAGTAAGTTAGTTGTACCCAAAAGTAGGTTAATATGATTATACTCAACGTTGGGTTCCCACTCTTTACTACCCCTGTTGGGTGGTTTTGCTCCTCCGTTTTTGACATTAGAAGGAGAAAAGGACACCAACTAGTCAAAAGTAGGTAAAAGTGAACTGGGTACTTTTTTCTTACCGTGTAGCAATTCCAGTCTCTAACTGCTTCGGATTCGTTTCAAACCATTCGAACTGTCAGAAATATCGGGTTGCCAAACATACCCAAATATTTATTGTTCCCTAATAGTACGTTCAGACTATAGAGTTATAACAACAACAGTCCGCATCGTGCTCTCTTGCCGTGCGGATCTATTTGCTTTTTGCTGAAGGAAGTGTTACTACTACCTAAAGCTACAACAAATTTAAACAGCACTTTTCAGTGCTCAACCTGTAAAAATTTTCTACCTTGTTCAACTCTTATTCCTCTTCGATCCTTGTTTGGACCCTACCCGAGGTAATCCTTCTTGGATATCGATTTGGAAAATTCCTCTTCGATCCTTCAGATTCTTATAGTAATCTGCTTGGAAGTCGATTTGGATAAAAATTTACTGCCGCCATGGCGCCTAAACGCAAAAGAAAGGGGCAAACTCTTGACCCCCCTTCTGATGAAATTAATTTGAGTAATCAATTTGATTTGCTCACGGATGATGAGAATGATCCATCATCCAAGAAAAATTCTAGTAAACTTTCCCGGCTTAATGCCAAGAAGGAAAAGATTCCCCCTATTGTGATAACCACTACCGATTTCCATGCTCTTCGCATGGAACTTTTGAATTTCGTGAAAGTTAAGTTTTCACTACAAATTGGACGTCGGGGTGAATGCCTTAACTGAAATCTTACTGAGAAGAAGCACAAATTTTTTACTTACGACACCAAAACTGAACGTGTGTTCAAGGTTGTCATGAAAGGACTGCCCAGTGGTGAATCCCTGGATCAGATCAAAGATGAACTGGCAAAATTACTTGGAGTTGTGCCACTCCAAGTAATCAAAATGAAAATGAAATCCCGTCCTGGCGATTCGCGCAACGGGATTTCTAATGATTTTTATTTAGTTCACTTCAAGTCTAGTGAACTAAACAACCTTAAGGCCTTAGAAAAAGCTAGCCTTATGCTCCATGTCCGAGTGAAGTGGGAACACTTCAGGAAGACTGGAGGAAATTTCCAAAACCTCACCCAGTGCCGTAAGTGCCAGGGATGGGGTCACGGAACTAAAAATTGCTACATGCCAGCTAAATGCATGAATTGTGGTGATTCCTCTCACGCAAAGGACGACTGTCCTGTGAAGGAAGATCCTAAGAAATTTAAATGTTCAAATTGTGGTGAAAACCACAAATCCAATTTTTGGGAATGTAAGACTCGCAAAGCGATCCTACAATCTCGTTCTAACCGTCAGGTAGGAAACGCTCCACGTTTCCGACCAGGTACAAATTCCTCTGCTGTTAACAACGGTCAGCGAGGAACAAATTCTACATTCGTACCAGTAGGTACAAATATCTCCCCTGCTTCAAATGTTTCATCTGTACCTACTCCTCTCGCTGCTAACAATGTTCAGCGAGTTAATGGAGCTACCTATGCTGCTATTGCAGCGGGTAGAAATCAAAATACTAATGGAAATTTTGACAATTTTGACTTAGGAAGCATTACTG